CTCTCGTTGCTGCCGGGCCTCGAGGAGGAGTCGAGCGAGTTCTTCGACCGCGTCGTGCGCCTCCTTGACCAGATCGCCGCGTCGGTTGGCCGAGAGTTTTTCCTGCAAAACATCTGGCTCGTGCTCATCTCGTCCAAGGCGATTCGATTGAGTGCGCTGAACTATCTTGCGCGGCGCATGCCCAAGCTGCGCGGCGCCAAGATCGATGCGGACGTGTCGGTTGACGGTGCAGGGGACACGTCGGCAGACACGGCCGCAGCGCCCGCAGCCGAGCCCGGTGTGCCACTCGATACGCTGCGGTCCAACGTGCTTGTGCGCGGATTTGTGCATACACTCGGGGATGACTCGTTGCTGGTGCGCCGCAACGCACTCGACTTTCTCGTGGGGCATCTGCCGCTGGCGTCACAAGCGTTTGGCGAAATTGCGCACTCCGACCGTGTGCTGCTGCTTGATGCGGCGATCGGTGCAGTGCTGCGGCGCGATATCAGCCTGAACCGCCGACTGTACGCGTGGCTACTGGGCCCGAGCCAGTCCGACGAGGCGCAGCAGGCCTACTTTCACCAACACGCGCTGCCCTACGTCACGGAGGCGCTGCGCAGCGGCATGCAGTACCGTGGCGGTGACAACGCGATGCAGCAGCGCCCGTACAAGATCCTCGTGTCGCTCATGGACAAGGCGGCGATCGCGGAGCCGCTGCAGCGTGCCATCCTGCTGGACGCTTTTGCGGCGCTCGTGCATGACGCGCGGCTGCACGCGGGCTCAGAACTCTTCCCCACAGCCCAAGTGCTATTTGAATCGGTGAATGCCTACGTGTTGTACCAGCAGCTATTTGTCGCGCTGCGCGACGAGCTCAACCAGCCGGATGCTACACCGCGGTACGGCTCGGCGGTGCGCCTGTTTGCGGCGATGCTGCGCGTGTTTGTGCACCATGACGAAGACGCCTTGGCGGTGCACCTGCCGGCGCTCTACCTTGTGCTTGTCGAGTGGATGCACGGCAAGATGGGCACGGACACGCTGCCTGCATCGCTGGCACTCGACGTCCTGGCGCTGCTCGAGCAGATCCAGGCGGCACTGCCTGCGCGCGTCTATGTGCAGCACACGGCCTCGAGCGTGCGCCCGCTCGGCTATGCGGCCACTTTCTTGTACGTCGACGGTGGAGCGGTCGAGCAGGCTGCGACGCTGCAGGACCAGGGGCAGTGCACGCAGCTGGTCGAGCGGCTGCTGGCCATGGGCCTCGAACGTGCGCCGCACACCGCGGCATGGTCCGATACGGCGCGGCACGCGGCGTCGCTGCACTGCTTCCGCTTGCTGCTCGCTACGCTCGAGCGCCTGGACGCCGCGCAGGGCATCCCAGGCGCCGGTGACGACGCACAGAAGCCCAGTGCGACGCAGCTCGAGCCGTTTGATGCCGCGGCATGGGACGTGCACATTCTGGGCTACCTCGCGACGCCGCTGGCGTTCCCCGAGTTTGTCGCGTTACTCCGTGTCGCGATGCGCATGGCGACGAGCGACGCGGTGCCCGGCACGGTGCGCTTTGCCTCGTACGCACACTTCGAGCCGGTGCTCCTGGCACTGCTCGCCTACCTGCGCCCCGGTGCGTCCGCGCACCATGCCGAGGCCGCCGAGCTGTTCTGGGCGCTGCGTGCGTGCTCACCGAGCGATGCGGCATCGAGCATTCTGTGCACGCGGCTGACGGACAGGTCGACGCGCGACGCGACGCTCGAGGCACTCGGCACGTTGTGGCGCTCCGCCATCGCCTCGGGGCACGCCGCCGAGCTGCTCGCGCCCGTTTTGCTAGTCCTCGACGGCGTGCGCTCTGCCGACGTGCCCGAGCGCAGCGCGAATCGTTTGTGGCTGCGCATGTATGTCTCCGACTACGTTGTGTTGCTCACGCTCGTGCTCGACCGCCTGCGTGCCGTGCACGCGGAGCGCGTGCCCAAGACGCTCAACGTCGCGGACCGCGCCGTGCAGGCATACGAGTATGCGGACGCGTTCGACCAGGACGTGCAGAACTACTACCTCGAGACGCTCGGCACGCTTCTTGAGCTCGGCGGCGCGGCACTCGTCCGCGCGGCGCATGCGGCGCCGCACGGCGAAGCCAGCGTGCTCGATGTGCTCACCGAGCACGTCGTGCTCCTCTTGCGCTCTGTGCCGCCGCCGAACGACTGGCTCGCGACCGGCAACGAGGCGACGCACGCGCTGTGCCTCGCGCTCGTCGGCCGCGTGCTCGCCGTCGAGTCGGTGGACCGTGCGTGGTGCGCCGACATCCAGCACCACCTGGTCGAGGCGCTCCTGATTGCGCTGGCGCGGCGCGACGGCGCGGCGCAGGTCACCCTGCTCGCCGCCGTGTACTCGGTCGTCGAGACACGGCATGTGCTGCTCGACGCCGAGTCCGGTGCGCTGTTTGCGGAGCTCGTGCGCCGGGGGCTGTACGACGCACCGAGCGATGGCGTGTTCTTCGCATGGACCGCGTTCCTTGCACAGCTCCTTCCGTTTGCGCGCGAAGAGGCGACAGCGTTCCTCCTGCCGCTGTGCACGAGCCTCGGCGAGCTGCTTGCCGGCGCGATGCACCGCTTCGTCGGCGACGCGGCCAGCGAGGCGCTGCTGCCTACGCGCCGCACGAAGCACGAGCACGCCGCGCCGTCCGAGGACGCGCTCGTGCGCCTCGTGGGCGCCGTGGAGCCGACGCTGCTCCAGGCGCTTGCGCTCGGCACGTCGAGCGATGCAGAGCGCGCCACGGACCCCGAGCTGGCGGCCCCCACGGGCTTTTTGGGCAACATTTCGAGCGTGTTCACGAGCGAGGTGGCGCCGAGCGAGGCGGCTCCGAGCGCGCTTGGGACCGTGCCGCCCGCGCTGCGCGTCGCAGCACACACTGTGCAGGTGCTGGCGTACGTATGGAGCGCCGCACGGGGCACCGACGCGGCGCACCCCGTGGCGGGGGCAGCGCTAGCGCAGGCCACAGCGAGCCTTGAGCGCGTCTACCGGCAGCACGCCGCGCTCACGATTGAGGCGATCGTGGAGCTGTGGTGGACGCGCGCGGTGCACGACACCGACGACGCACGCACCGATGCCGTGCATGACGCGACCGTCGCGCTGCTCGAGTGCCTCGCAGGAAGTGAACAGGTGCTCGTGTCGTCGCTCAGCGACGCCATCACGTCGCGCCTCGCGCACGCCGCCGAGCGCAAGCGCGCCACGCCACGCGTGCTGCTGGGGGAGCTGGTCTTTTTCCGGTTCCTCGAGCGCTACCTCGCACAGCTCGGCCCGGACGGCGTGGCGCATACCTGGCCAGTCCTCTCACTGCTTGCCAAGAACATCGCGAGCAACCACGCGGCAAACAAGGCACTCGTGTTTGCGACGCTGCGGGTGGTTGCGGCTGCCGGCGTGCCACTTGCCGCCTCGCGCATGTTCGAGGACCGCCGCACCCGCCGCGACGCCCAGGATACCCTCGTGCGCCTGTGCGAGCAAGTGATCTCGCTGTACGCACGCACGCTCGACGTGAGCGCCTCGCGCCGCAGCACACGCGACAGCGACTCGGCATCGCACACCGACGATACCCCTGACGACGCGCAGTCGGCGGACACGAGCAACGCCGCACCTGCACCCGCGCTCGTCGTGGCCTTCTTTGCGACGACACTCTTGCCCGCGCTCGAGCCGCTCGCAGTCGACACGGACAAGAGCGTGGCACTGTGCACGAGCCTCGTGTACTACGTGCTGACTCCCGGCTTCCGCGCGCGGCAGCGCACCATGGACATCGACCCACTCGTCTTGGAGCTGCTCGCGGCAGTGTGCCGCGTGCCGGGCACGATCAAGACGTGGCGCACGCTCGTCGTCGACACCTTTACCGATGCCAAGTTTTTCTCGCTGCCCTCGAGTGCCGGGCGGCAGTGGTCGCCGATAGTCGCGACGCTGTACGTTGCCGAGCGCGACCGTCTCGTGGACGTGGTGGGGCGCATTGCCACCACGCCGACCAACAACCTGTTCACCTCGCGCGAGACGGACCTGCTCGCGCGCGCCGTGAGCATCCGCCGTTTGGCGTACACAATTTATGCAGGCGAACGCAACACCTTCCTGGCGCAGCTCCCGCTCATCCAGGAAAAGGTCGTCGACGTGCTGCGCTCGAATGCACCCGAACTCGTCCAGGCGGAGATCTACCTGTGCATGCGCGTGCTGTTGTGTCGCTTTGCATCGCAGCACCTCGCTGGATTCTGGCCCATCATCCTCACCGAGCTTCTCCGCCTGTTTGGCAAGGCCAAGAGGGAGCTGCCCAAGGACCACACGGATGCCATCCACTTGCTCTTCAGCACCGCCAAGCTCGCCGACTACCTGCTCACGTTGCAGACCGAAGACTTCCAGATCCACCAGTGGCTCCTCATCACCGACACGCCGGACGCCGTCGACCCACCCACGGAATGGATCCCCGAATCGCTCCTCGACTGTATCGGCCGCGTCGCCATGGAGCACCTCGACCGCACGCCACCAGATCCTTGGTCAGACAAGCCCACAGCACTACGCCGACCCATGCTCGGCATCGCCCGTGCCGATACCATGCAAACCCTCGAGCCGTTCTTTGTGCATGTGTCGCGCATCGCATACGCGAATGAGACGGTGTGCACGGGTATCGACTGGGACGCTATCAACCAAGACCTCCTCCAGGACCTGTTTGAGCCAATCGTAATCCACTCGTAGATGTAGAAATGGTGCAACCGAGGCATCGAGATATCTGTTTGTCACTGCGCTAGCTGAAAAGGCCCGTGCACAGATTTTGGGCCAATTTCGCCAACGTCAACTCAATTTTTTTTTTAAAAAAAAAAAATCCCAAATTGAAAATTAAAAAAATATGACCAGCACGGGGCTCGAACCCGCAACCTCCTGATGTTCCTCAGTCCAATGGACTTTCGTAGTCAGACACACTACCAATTGTGCTAACCGGCCGTTTCTAGCTCACAGCCTGTCTCAAAGCCCCCTTGAAGCTTGGCAGAGGTCATGCAGAAAAGCAAAATTGACCAGCACGGGGCTCGAACCCGCAACCTCCTGATGTTCCTCGATCCAATGGATCTTCGTAGTCAGACACACTACCAATTGTGCTAACCGGCCAGACGCTGTCCTCACGTGTGCGAGTAGGATATAAAAGCTCGAACGCCCTCTACATTACGGGTGGTTCTTTATGCGGTCGAAACACTTTGTGCGAGGGGAAGCGTCTTGGAATCTACTTGTCTTGGAAAATGGCGGCGCCTTGCACCTCCCACTGGGCACGGCCGTGTGCGACTGCCTTGCGTTTCTGGAAATAGTCAGAATCATTCGTAACGCCCCCATAAATGTACTCGGGCTCGTGCTCGCCCTTCTTGGGGTTCAGGTGGAACCACTGAGGGGTATACGTTCTCCCGGCCTCTTCCAGTTCCTTTCGCCGCTCACGCTGGCGACCTTCAAGCTGGGCTTTGAGGTTCTCGGCAGAGTCCACATCGCCGTCCTCCAGCGCACGTTGGTCAGGACGCAGGCGCGAGTCGGTCGGCGGCAGAATGTTTTGCAAATCCGGCGTGATTTCGTTGAGCGACATGGCGAAGTTCGTGAAACCATAGTACCTAGCTGAGTTTGGTGGCATCGGCGCTGCCTCCCAGAGTACTTGCAGGTGGTCCTTGTCAACTTGCCGGGCAAACTGCTCGTCCCACTTGCCCTTGAACGAGGCAATCTCAGAGCCGTTCGCATCGTACATCGTGCCCACGACGTGGTTGCGCGAGCTCGCTCCGCCAAACATGCTCGATTCCTTAAACTGAATAACGAGACGCAGATTGCTCTTGATCTCGGTCACAGTCATTTCCCCGACGTGCTCAAGGTATTTGTTGCCCGCCAGCAGGTTGCGCATGAAGGAGCTCGGCTTGGTGATGCTGTATACATCGCCCGTGTTCAGTTCAATGACCTCACTGCCTTCGGCAATCAGCTCGAGCGATTTGCCCCAAAACTTGTTCTTTACCGTACCCGACGAGGAGGCCTTCCAGCCCTTGCCTTGTGCATACGCCGCGACAATTGGCGGGCGATGTACCACCTTTTCGGCCACGAAGAACAAGTTGCGGTCAGCACGTACACACTCGTACGTTTCGCCCAAGAGCGGGTTAAAAGGTTTTCGGCTCGAGCGCTGTATCGTCGATGCATACCCGCTCACAGCAAACGCTCCAACCAGCGACAATCGCTCCACCGCATCGTCAGACTGCGCGGCACGTTCTAACAGTTCAGGGGCGTATTCGTATTCTTCCGCAACAGCTTGCAGCAGCGAAAGCGGGCAGTTAAATGTCACTGGGAACGAAATGGTCGACAAGTCCTTGCCGACATTCTTCTTGAGCATACTGAAGAGCGAAACTTCCTCTCCCGACACGGGCGCCGGAAGTTCCTTGCGGTAGGTCACCGTTTGGGCATGCGCACCAATCGAATTGGACTCTTCGATCAAGGACGACTGCACGCTTTCCTCTGGATCACTGCTTTCTTCTCCATCGTCTTCGCTGTCGTCGCCCACATCGGCGGCATGTCCAGGCTCCTCCTCGATTTGGTATTCGACTCCTTCAAAGTCATCATAAGCATCGTAAAAGTCTCCATCATCTGCGGCACTGAACGAAGAAGCCGACGATGCCGTAACGCCACCCAAGGGAGCTTCAACAAGCGGCGACATGGAGGGGCTCGTCGAAGACAGCGAGTGACCCACTGGCGTGCCCATCCGCGAGATGCCAAACTCACCCGATGCGCGCCGAGAGGACGCGGCTCGGATTTCTCCATGCTTCTTCCGAAGCTCTTCCATATTTTCCAGCACCTTGCGGATTTCTGGGTTACTGTCACCAACGGAGAGGTTCTGGAGCGAAATCATACATGACTGCAGCAATCCATCCGCCTTGTCGATCAATTGTGAGGTCGGCCGGATCTCGGTGGGCGTGCTAATTTCGCTAGGGTTGCTGTGCAGGAACTTGCGCAACATGTTGCGCCATTTCACAAAGTCAGCGTCGCTCAGCATTTTGAGGTCTGCGTCAGTCACTCACACGCACGAAACACGCTCGACCCGCTGTCAACATGAATGGTGCCTGTATGAGTTTAATTAAAACATACCATGTCGAATATCAGAGCTAACACTGGCATGGGGCACATCGATGATGCCGCGCGCGCTCTTGTTAGGATGAATCGAGTAGAACAGCGTGCCGTCCTGGAGAAGCACCAGCCAGCGCTTGGCGTAACCTGCATCAGCATGCACTCAGCGCACCCTGAATCTTCTTCTTCTTCTTCTTCAGCACCCATCCTGAGTACAGGACCGGGGCATTGCTGCTTTCCATCATACCAGCAGCGCACACGAGTGGGCCGAGGCCTTGTGAAACACGGTTCCGTTCGCCAAGTGGGGCGGACCCAGGCCGACGGTCGCTTAGCTAAGCCGTAGGGTAGCACCGATCGCTGGGTTTAGGCTACGTTTATTCTGCGGTCGGTGTGGAGGCCGCACGGTCCGAGCGGCCGGCGACCTCGTTTTGGAGGACGGCCTCGGCGTACATCACCTTGTAGCGCACGAGCTCCTCGGCCATCTCTTCTTGCGAAAGTTTGGACATGACCACGCGCTTGACCAGATCGACGTGCTCGGCACTCACTTGACTCAGCTGCTCTTCGAGAGCCTGGACTTTGAGGCGCAAATTTCGGTTTACCATCCGAAGGGCCTCCATCTCGACCGAGCGCTCGTTGGCCAACTTAGCCTGATCATAGAATTCGTTCGCAAACGAATCCAGCGTGTACGGAGAAATCTTGACTGCAAACGCATCGCGCACCAGTTCACTCACGCGTACATGCGGTGCAGCCTCCTGCTGACGGTCGCTCGGCTCCGACTGCGTTAGCGCCCCACATACCATGTAGACGTCCACGAGATGAAGCTTGAGGAAATTCAAACAATCTTCAAAATCAAGCGCAAGCAATTTACTCTCGTTCTTTTGCAGTAGCGCAATTGCGAAGCGGAACATGGCTTCGATACCCTCGGCGAAAATCGAGTCCAAAATGCGGTACACAACTTCGAGCGGGAAGCGATAGGAACTGGGTTATTGAACGTCACATACAAGACTGGGTCAGCGGGGGAAGTCACGTACGTGTCATAAACCATTGGCTCGCATACATGCTGCTTTTGATGCCTCGGCGCGTAAAGTGCAAATGCAGTACGGGCTGAGTTTCTTCCAATAGCCGGTCGAATTGGTACAGTCGCAACTGGAGTGAAGGCATATTGGGAATGAAGTGACCACGCAGATCGTAGTTTTGCATCAGACGCACTAACGTGCTGAAAGCCTCCTCATCGGGCATGTTGAGCAGCAGCGGACCCACAACAAATTGCATCCCTTGGCAGTAGCCACACTCGGGGTCAAACAGCGAGTAAGCTTTGACCACATTGTACAACTGCTCCTGACCCACCCCCTTGGCGTCCTTAAAGTAGTCTTGCGTGGGGAAGGTCCGGTTCAAATCGCGCCGGATATCACGCTCCTGAGGACAGGGAAGACTGAGGTATTTGGCATACTGTGCCTCCAGATCCTCGTCTTTGCTGCTACTCAGCAGCTGCCACATCATACCACGCAGTACCGGCGGAATGCCAGAGTAAATAGCCTTGCTGAGCTCAATGGGGCTCGTTGCCAGAATGGTATTGTAATCATTGATGAGACCACCCCAGAATTCCCAGTCAATCTTCTCCACAGTATCGTTGTCTTGGCCTGCCTCATCGGAAGCATCTTGTTCCTTCAAGACGCTGCCGACGCCAAATTCTTTGCTGCCTGCACCGACTCCATCCGCTTCGGTCTCGGAACGGGGCTGCTTGCGCTGCTGAAGACGCTCAAAGCTTTGGCGCAATTTACCAATCCCTAGTGCGCTCCGTCGCATCGCACGGGGATCCTGGTTCAGCTTGCGGTTCTGGGCGACCATGCGCGCGAGAATCAGGTCGTATTCCGAGTCGTTCATCTGCTCGGCTTTTTCATTGGCAGCAATTTGGCGTGCGGCGCCGAGTGGCAGTTTGGGCGCCGGAATTCGTAGTGCCTCGGTTTGTTTTGTGAACTTGTCTAAATCGGCGTCCGACGTGCGGTCTTCCGAGAAGGGGTTTTGGATAATCATCTTAGGCTCAATCATGGACTCAGCGCCTACCGAAGGAGGTAGTGGATCGGAATGTGGTGTTGAAGCGACGATTGCCTTGGCTGTTTCCAAATCAATCGGCTCGCTTTGGTCCTGTACCTGTTCCATCTTTTGGGTTTTTCGAATAGCCGCTGAAGAGAGACCAGACTCGTGCAGGCCTTTACGCTCCGTCGTCGTGGTATGGGTGGACGACGCATCCGACGCATCCGAATCGTTCTTTACTTCATCCTCTTCTTCTGTCGACTCGTCCTCTTCCTCTTCCTCCTCGTCCTCGTCCTCTTCCTCCTCGTCCTCCTCTTCATCGTCGTCGTCGTCGTCGTCATCATCATCATCATCATCATCATCGTCGTCGTCGTCGTCGTCGTCGTCGTCGTCGTCGTCATCGTCGTCGTAATCTTCTGTCTGCGTCGATGTCGTCACAACGCTCTCCGTCTCCGTTTCAGTCTCGTCAGTTTCGTCGGTATACTCCGTCGAGTTGTCTCCATCAACGGTGCTCGCGTCATCTTCCTCGGTGACAACGAGTCTGGATTGGGTCTTCTCACGTGTCTTGTTGCGCGCTTTACGACCTTCAGAGTTCCCCGTCGTTGTGTTGGTCCGGGGCATGGCGGCCGTTAGTTTCGTTTCGCTGGCCCAAGCGGTGTGCAGGCCGTCCCAACCGCCAAATGCACGCTTCGTGCACAGGTTTGCGGGGTTGAGCGCATCCACGTGACATTCTCACGTGGCTATGTGGCGGCGCCATCTTCCACGTCATCCCCCCACAAAGCGGTTCCCCTTGTTGCTTCATAAGCCCGGGCGGCGCACCACTCAGGTAGTGTAATCGTTGCTGGATTGGTGTACATGTCAAACGTACAAGAGGGTTCAGGGATCGATCCTACACTCCTGGTGTGCGCCGCGGAGGCACCACAGGCAGTTGCATCCAGCAGCACACCATCTCCAGGCACGAAACGCACGGCGGACGCTACGGCCGAACGCCCGTC